GGGGGGGGGGGTAGGAGGTGAATGTGTGGCAGAGTATAGACCAGACTGCGTTATAAATCAAGCACACGCACCCTCTATTAGCACTCCTGTCTCTGGCAGCCTCCTGGCGACCCTAATTTAACGTTAAACCCCACCGTTCCACTAATAACACGAGCGTTATTAACAATCCTTCATTTTGGCTACTGGAAAGTATTCATCGATCAAAATATTAAAATTTTGGAATCGAAATTACGGGATGGACTAATCAAAAATTCATTCAGTTGGAATGAGAAGTTGAAGATAGATTTAATATTAAGCATTAGCATTGATGAGAATTTGATTTAGGGCCGGTTTACGAAATAAATCCTCAGAATAAATTTTGTCATTAGTAATTTAATTCCAATCAAATTGCCAATTTTATTTTAATGAAAAGGAAATCAGATTTTAGTCATTTCCAACTAAAATATCGCCCATTATTCATATTTCGACATTTTTTCATTAAAAAACTAAACCAGTTATTAAATTGAGAAAAACAAGTGGGAAATTGCTATTGTATTGCATATAGTAATAGTTATTCAAGCTAATAAATTAGTAATATGCTCCCGAATGGTTATTTTGCGCATAGTTTCCTTCTATTATGTGTAATGCATTGTTCATTTCATTTTATTAAATTGAATAAGATTTCGTATTAACTAAATTTATCAGATTTTCAACTTAGTTGAATGTTATCATCATCGTTATTCTTATTATCACTTTCTTCTGTAAAACCAATTGCCAATTGTCTTTTTTACAGTTCTATCGATAAAATGTTAATAGAAAAATTTTATTTAAACATACTTGAATGAATTTGAAACATCACGTTTGAAGAAACCATCAGAAAGATCACTTTCAGGGAAATAGTACATTTGAGTACAAGGGCACAAATTTCGTTTTCGACGAATGTGAAGTTTACAGGCCGAGCCGAAGGCGAGGTCTGTATTCACATTTGTTGAAAACGAAGTTTATGCCCGAGTGGTCTATACTATTTTATGCCACATCGTGCAGAAGTCGAGTTTGACGCACGCTGCGCTTCGCGACTTATTGCACGGCGTGCCATAAATTCATGAAAAATTCAAGATTTTCACCAATTATTATAATAATGAAATCAACCAATATAGCTATCGTAATCATTTTTTAACTCTAACTTAATGGCATCAAAACAAACATTTTAAGCTATGACTGAGTTAATCTGAAACATGATATCAAAGATATCCCCGGAATTCTGATTTTCAAAAAATATATCATTTTTGCAGATTTTCAAATAAATCAAAATAACGATTATTGCTATTGCCTTCATCTTCGAACTCGCTCAAAAGGACATCCAAACAAATTTTGTAAGTCATCATTCGATCAATGCGGAACATTTTTTACAGTTATCGTGAGACAACCGATTTTCGAAAAAAACTAATCCATAAATTAAATTTTAATTAATGTCGATCGATAGGGTTCAGCAATACCTACATTTAAAAAAAACGCTTCAATGCCATCCATTCAAAAACGAACAACTGAAGTAAAACTTTGTTAAATACGTACACACTACACACATAAACACACACGTACGGACGAAGTCTAAAAATTGCGTTTTCGAACTTACTAGAGATACCTACTGGATCGATATCTCTATACCATAAAAATCTAAATCGACTTCTGGTGATCAAAATTTGGTGATCAAAATTAAAACTTCAAAATTAACGGTCACAAGGGTCATAAGGACCAAAATAATGGTTATGAGAGTCAGAGTAAGGGTCGCAAGGGTCAAAATAAGGATTATGAGGGTCAAAATAAGGACCGGAAAGGTCAGGAAAGGGTCTCGAAGGTCAAAATGAGGGTCACGAGGGTCAGATTAAGGTTCAAAATAAGGGTCACAAGAGTTATAATAAGGGTCAGATTAAGGATGACCAGGGTGAGATTAAGGATAACGAAGGTCAGATCAAGAGTCCAAATAAGGGTCAGGAGGGATATAATGAGGGTCAGTATGAGAGTCACGAGGGTCAGATGAAGGGTCACAAGGGTCAGAATAAGGATCATGGGGGTCATATGGGGGTTGGCGAGCGGAGCGAGCAGGGGCGTAGCCTCCTAGTAACACAAAAAAACTAAAACTTAACTTTGAACGATTACAAAACTTCTATGCGGATGCAAAGAAAAATCTATTCCGAATCTGATCGCGTTCCCTCGAAATGCCTTGGAGTTTGTAATAATCTTTACAATCCAGCTGTATTCATAGAACTTCAACTCAATTTTATTGCATCGTATTCGACTTATTTATCACGAAAAACGGTGAAAACCCCTCAGAACATAATTTCAACTTTTTCTCATGAAATTTGAAAAATTACGCAAAAAAATGGCAAAAATTAAAATTTCATTCAAAAACCTCAGAAAATCTGGAAAAATCATTGCGTATAAAATTGAGGAATTTCCTTTAAATAAAATTGAATGTGCATGTATTTTGTTTATAGACTCGAGTACATCAGTATCAAAATCAAATCTCAAAGCTACAATTGGAAAATGAATCGATGCGCGGACAATTACGTGGACTAGAGGCCGCTTGCGCTGGTGAAGTACATGCAGCATTAGTTGCTAGATTAGCGACACTGGAGACTGAGCACGTTGCATTAGCGCGTGACGCTGATGCACAGAGAAGACAGTACGAGAGGTGTTTAGACGACGTTGCCAACCAGGTGGTTCGTGCACTGCTATCGCAAAAGGTTCATTTACTGCTCAATGCTTTTTATCTACCCCCATTCCCTCCTTCCTCGGCTCCTGCAGTTTTCAAATTAAGATGAGTCTCTCTCCAGACGAGTTGAGGGGCTTCAGTCTTATTTACCGATGGAATTCCCTTGCGAGCACATTCTTAACATAAAATTCTTCCTGGGGAATTCTTCCCGTATTTTATCATTTCCCTTTTATACTTTATATTTTATAAGATTGTTTTCTCAAAGGAATTGTTTATTGACGAAATTTATTAATTCAAGTGTTACGTTGAATTTTTATTTATGAAAGGATAAACCCTAATTAAAAATGAAACCCTTTATTTGAAATTTTTCTAGTCATTTCAACAGACTTCGGCACAATCATAAATTTTAGTGGGGCAAAATAAAACAGCCGAAAAATGACTATTTGAAGCAATTCAAGCAGAAAAAAATGTCTATCAACTTAAAACTTTTAAGAAATTTAGAATTATTTACTCAATGGTCAATTGAAAATTTAGATTATCAATTACTTTATTATTTTTTAAATTTCAATAAAGATGAGGAAACTTTAATTACTTTATGGTGCAACTTCCTTAATATTCACAATCTAATCATTGATACCGATACCTGCATTTCAATCACATTTTCGTTGAAAATGAATGAACCCATATATTGTTTCACATGTTCTAGTTACATGAAGTAAATAATTCCCTCATTCATGGAACTGAAAAATTATTACATATTAATAAATTCATTCCATTCATGGTTTCATATAAAATACAATAGAAATTATTATTTGTTGGGAGAAAACAAATTACATCAATATTACAAATTTAATTAGGAGATATTCGAATTAGGTTTTATCAACCATTATTAACCCTAGTCTGGTCACCACACGCAACTCTGCGACCCTAGTTACCTCCGCGGGGATTCCCCGCCGTGTCATTTAGGCTCTAGCGTTGCCGAATTTACTCTACACTGCCCGAGCGCGTTTAACGAGTTTCCGGCAACGTCGCGTGATGCGCAATTTCGTTTAACATGGGAAAAAATAATTCATCTGTTCGAAATTATTTATTTCCTTCAGGAATTTCGGAAAATACGTTGTTCTAAAAACTACTATAATTCTTTAGACAGTTCAATTACGAAGTCAATTTTTTTAATTTTTTCAGTTAGCTATTCAATTCAGTAGTAAAGTGGTAAACGGAGATAAGTCGACTTATCTCTCAGTTCAGTTTTTGAGGAATATTTCCAAATTTAAGGGAGATAGCGAATTTTTCGTAATTACATTTGTTGTAGCACTCAATCGGCTCCACAAAAAAGGTTATAACAAAAATTTTGCTATCTCTCTTAGATTGCGAGATATTAATTGAAAACTGGTCAATAGTCAAAATTGACTTATCTCCTTTTACCACTTCGCTACTGAATTGTAATTAAAGAAAAACGAGGCGCGGCGAGGTTTCCCTCATATAGTGACCAATCTAGGGTTAACACATTCCTTAATATTCTTCTTTTTCATTTCATATACGTCTTTTCAATCTTTAAAAGGAATTAAGAGCTATTGGAATGAACCCATTCATTTGATTCAAATAAAAACTTTTCTTCTGGGTGCAAGAACGAACAGATTTACTTCCTTGTTTTCTCTTCAAATCACTCAGTTATGAGACGAATGCATAATCTCCATGGAGAATCAACAAAAATGTCGAAATTCACTTATTTCTACTTCGCTACTGCATTGATGATTTGAATTTCAAATGAGGTTTGTTACTAGTTAGACAGCTAGAGGAATTTCCACTTGAGAACTTTGTTTCATAATCTGTTTATCTCCGGAAGTACTTGCGATATGAAAGAAGAAACTTCTTTATTCTAAAAATTGATTGCAACGAAAATATTCCGGAATGTCAATAAAACTTGACTTCTTAATAAAAAAAAAGACGTATAAATTTTCGAACTTATTTGTTTTCCTGATATCGAAGAGTTAAATTCATAAAAATCTTGATTCTACAGGCTTCATAAATAATTCTGCTAATGGAATAAAAATGACATTCAAACGCTTAACTCCCCTACCTGTTCCGCTTAATTTAATTTTAAGTATATTCAATCGCTTAGTAGAGCGCCAAAAGCTTAAAGCGTTCGGGCTCAAGACATTTTTATTCGTTTAAGGTATATCCCTAGAAAACACGGTTTCCTTAAGATTGTTTCTGTATTTTTCGTAGATAATGTTTATAATAGCCCCCAGCTATTGAAAAAATTCTAACTACCTGTACTACACAGTTTAGGACATAATAAATAATGAAATTTTTCATCTTAAGAAAAAATGGTTCTTACGATGTTTTTAAAAAACTAACCCGTGAGAGATTTATAAATTCCGAATACGGCGATTTTTTTGTTAAATTTTGTACTACATAGTTTCTGCGATATTCAACTATAAACAATCAAAAATTTCGTGAAAGCATTTGTTATTTGATTCAAACAGTTATTGTTGCCTCGATCAACAACATATGAGAATAGAAAAGTCAATAACTTAGGAGATAACTTACGCTATTTCGAATTATTTCTGGAAATCCATAGGGACTAACTTTTGGGTCTGATTGTCTTCGGACACACCTTAACACGCATCGATTAAAAAAAAATTTTTTTTTTTAGCATCGCTTCATTTGTTCAGGAGATATCAAAGAAAACTCCTTCCGTCGGCCATTCTGCGGTCATATCCAACAATAACTAACACAATTAATCGGAAACTAGCAGTAAATACTTCGAATGCGAAAAGCAGTCCTCTTCAGGGCCAGATTTATTAATCTACAATAATCAACAAAACACAATATTGTAATAGTATATTTGGATATGATTGAGACTGAATTTTCACGAGTGCTAAGTGGGCGGCCCGAGGCGAAGCCAGGGACTACCAATCACACGAGCTAAAAATTCCCGTCTCACATGGGAACTCACATGTAGAGATGCAAATGTGTCACATGACCCGTCATATAACGGCCATGTGACCGTACTGTGCCTTTTTCATTTCCAAATCAACGAAAAGACTTCTCGTTTACTTTTCGTTTACGAGTAAAGGAAAAGGCCCTTCTCGGTACGAGGTAAATGTAGCAGCAGTGTCAATTAGTAGATTGTGCACCAAGAGATGAAAATAGGACATTCCAACCCGCGTGTGGATTATTATAAAACACGTAAGACATTCAAAAAACACGCGGTAAACACGCAGGTTTACATGCCTTGTTTTGTTTCCCAGATGCACATACTATTTCTCGTCATAACTGCACGGTATAGTTCATTTTTCTTCGTTAATGCAGAGAGGAACACGGGTTATGTCATTCCGAGGATCGTCAAAAACAACAAAAATCGGAAGAATGAAAAAAACCCGAGGGGCTATTCACAGGCGAATTGGGTGACACCGCGATTACAAAATGTAATCGATTACCCAGGATTACGGGACTGATTACACTGATTACCATTGCGTATGTGATAACCGTGATTACCAGGAGCACAGAATGTGATTACATGATTACAAATGATTTCGACGATTACATTCTGTGATTACCAACATCTGTAATCATTGAAATCACAAAAAATGGCCTCTTATTGAATATGAATTGATGGAATAATTAATTATTAGAACCTGCAAAGAAATGAGGAAGGAGGGGCGGGGATTAGAACAAAGGAATGCAGTCTCCATCACTCCATCTAAAAATTTGGGCATTTATAAGTGCTATCAGCAATAGTATTTTTCCGGCCTGTTGCGATGGGGTTTTTTACTCGTGTGGCGTTGGCCTCCGAGCCGTAGGCGAGGACTGACCAACCACACGAGTAAAAAAACCCCATCGTAACAGCCCAGGAACAATATTTTTCTGTAGTGATTTTCAAGTTTTCGAGTTTGGGAAGTATGTAATACCAATTCCCAGGCGAGAAATCGTCAGAAGTAGTACAGAAAAATAAATTTACTGAATATCTACCATTGACGGAGAGTGAAACTTACCAGCAGATAATTCAGAGATAATTCAGTCGTTGGTTCTCCAAAATAAGAAGAAATTTTAACTCTGTTGAATCAATTTCCTACGAACAAATGGTCTGTGTAAAACGCATTAGCTATGCAAAGTTCTAAGCCATAAACATCTGAGATTTCAAGAAATATTGATCCAGGGATCTCTGAGACTTACCGTTGGTAGAAATGACGCGCTCGAAAATTCAAAAACAAAATTCACGGTCTCACTAGGAGCAACTACCAAAGATTACACTGATTACAAATAATTACAGTGATTACAAATGATTACCGCTTGATTACAAATATGGTAATCATGTGATTACAATGGTTACATTGATTTCACTGTGATTACAATTGATTACATCAGCGAGTGATACCACGAATACACCTGTGAATAGCCCCTCGAATAAACCACTTTCCTCCCGCCATTTGGGGAGGAAAATCGAGCTTTCCGTGCAGATATGACGAAAAGTAAATATTTCAAGACAGTAAATATTGCAACATAGTAAAAATTTAAAATAAAATTTCATTCACCAACCTTACCTAATCTGTTACATCTACATGGCAGACGGAAGGAGTTTTCTTTGATAATCGGAAGCGGTTGGTAAATCATTAACTCAACAGATATCGTTGGAAAAAACTTTGGTCACAAACGTACATACACATACACGTACAGACATGTCTTCAAAAATGTATCAGGATGATTCTAGCAGCCAAGAAACGTGGACAAAACGTAGAAATTTTACATTCGATTTTCGGTCATTACAATAACTTCCCCCATTCGGGTCAGGAAGTTAATAACGATTACGTTCGAAAGATAATACCCAACCTTTAACCCTAGTTGGTCACCATATGAGAACTTGCGACTTTTGGTCACCTCCGCAGGAAATCGCCTCCGTGTTATTTAGGCCCGAGCGTTGCCGAATTCACTCTATACTGCCCGGGCGCGTTTAGCGAGACTTCGGCAACGTCGTACAACGGGCAATTTCATTTAACATGGGAAAAAATTGCCCGTCTGTTAGAAATAATTTTTTTTCTTCAGGAATTGTGGATATAAATAATGTTAAAAAATATTATAATTTTCTAGACACTTGAATTGACGCATTCCAATTTGTTAGGATTTTTCCGCTCAGCCAGTCAATGGCAGGGATGCGAAATTACGTCACGTTTTGAAATCTGTCACGTCACAAAAATATGACGGTCATGTGACCGTCATGTGACGTCACGTTTTTTCATGTCATAATTTGGGTCACACTGTCGACTCACATATGATAATCAACTAGTTAGATGTAATGTGACCGTCATAAATTTTTCTGTTACAAAATCTTGTCACAAATTTTCAAATAGCACCGGTTTTTCGGTGCAAGGGTTTACTTGCTTAACGCGCCCATCGCTTGAAGGCCTTCAGGGAGAGAATGTTGAATGTGGAATAATGTAGCCGAAACCCCCAATTTCTGAACGACTGGGTCATATTTTTTTTTATTTATCTTTGATCAATATAAGAAAATAATGAGAGGTGAAATAATTAATACTATTTTCATTTTACTTGTGGGCTATTCAATGCAAGTTGAAATCGTTCAGAAACTAACCCTCGTCCAGAAATTAACCTGTTTACCCTATCCGGATTCAAAATTGTGTGTAGGGTAAGCCACCCAGTAGATGGATACTGCCCTATAGATGGACGAACTACTTTTGGATAGGAAATTACGTAAAAAAATACTGAAATGTGAATTGTTGCTTTGAATTTTCACTAACTGTTGTGATTCTTAACCCCTGAGTGACGATTTTTTTTCGGTCAATGTTTTTTTTCAATTGCTAAAAAACAAACGTCATCTACTGGGCGGTTTTCTTAGGCGTCCATCTACTGGGCAGTTTACCCTAATTTTCAAATGAATATCATGTCAAAAATTGTGATGAAAAATTGGTGCGAAATCATTTATTTTATTCATTGATTTCAACTGTTCCCAGTGAGAAAAATCACACTTAGTTAATAAACTCGCCACTGATTTTTCTTTTTTAAACTGAAATGTGACTGATACGCATGTTGACGCTTTGTGATTGTCCGTCCATGGAGGTAATCATGGGGAATTTTTGAATTTCGAACTAGTTGCCTCCACCTCGGATGCCACTACTTAGATGGGATGTGACGGTCACGGGGTAAAGCAGTCACGTTTGTGTCATGTGACAATAAATTGTCATAGTTGGCCGTGTCACATGACCGTCACTGACATGTCATATGACCGGTCAGTGACGTGTCATGTAATTTTTTCGCATCCCTGGTCAATGGTAAGAAAAAAAAATCGACCTTCTGTGGCGTTTCCCTCCTATGGTGACCAAACTAGGGTTAAAAATAACAATTAGCCCAACAAAAGTTCAAGTTATATAATAAAGAATGAATTTCTTTACATGAGATGAAAAATATTTACGCACTGTCATCACAAAAATTCACGCGAGAACGCTGGAGTGCTTCCCAGAATATTAATTAATACTTAAGCACACTTTTTACGTTGTCTCAACGCACATTGCACTCAAATTCAACGCATTAACATGCTAATGTCAGGGAGGCCGGGTGAAGCATTCTGCAAAGGTAGCCATGTTTGTTCTCCGAAAAACCGGTGGAGTCGACTGCTTTAAATGGAATAATTAAAAACGCTTCGGAGATAGCGAACATCGTATACAATTCAATGTTTAATAACAGAACAACAACTGAAATAATGAGAAGAATGTATATATTAAATAATGATTCTTTCACTGATATAGTACATGCACTGAGAAAAAAAGTTTTTTGATAAGTACGTGTTCACTTGTATCAAGAAACTCATGACTCGAAAATTGACAAGAAGAAGAGATCTTAAACTGAGAAAGAAAAAAACTAAACTAATTTCGAAAAATATTAAGCTAAAATTTTCAACTGAATCTGTATGCTCATTCTGTTGTGTAACTAATGTAGAAAATAATCTTTCGCAATTTTTTTATCGAATGTTCGACGTTTTATGAAGAAAAATTGACTCTTTTATGTCTGGAGTAAATTTATTTCACAGTTAGACAATTTTTGGAAGTCTTAGAGTATTTCATTTCAGCCATTCGTAGTCATGCCGCGAGAGACTTTACGAGACATCACGAGACAATACTTTGGAGGGATTGTCGCGGTCTCAGTGAACGTGGAAATTTTTGGTCTTGTCTCAGTCTCGAAATACGCAGTATCGACTTCTGTCGTGACGACTCCGAGTCAATTTATCTCACCTCGGTTTTAAGTTTTTCGCGTTTTTTATGTGTAGAAAATCGAGACGAGACGAAGCAAGACAAAAACCGAGATTTTATATTAAAAATACGAAAAACTTGAGACCGAGATGAGATAAATTGACTCGGAGTCCTCACGAGAGGAGTCGATACTGCGTATTTTGAGAGAAGGACGAGACTAAAAATTTCCATGTTCATTGAGACCGAGATCATCTCTCCAAAGTGTTGTCTCGTAAAGTCTCTCGCGGCATCACTAGCCATTCGGTCGAGAATATCGACTAAATAGTTCATACTGAATGGTATTATTAACAAATAATAGTAATACATTAATACACCATGTTTTTTCGTAAAATATCGTCGATTACTTATTTTGATACTAAACTGAAGAATTTTTTGACTGGGCTCGGTGCAACCGGGCCTAGATCATTTAAAAATAAATGGAATAGTCGGCAGAAAAGTTAAACAAGTGTTTTGCATTCGTTGAATCGTGCATTGTGGAATAAAGTTTTCATTTAATTGTTTCAGGGTTTGAGAGAGGAAATTGGAACTCTCCAGAGGCGGATTAGAGAGTTGGAGGCACAGAACCGCGCATTGTCTGGCCTTTTGGCTCAAGCCACGAGTGCAGCGAGTCCGGGGAGTCCCACTGAGCTTATTCAAAGTATTATCGAGGCTGGACCGGCGGCTCTTGTGGCTGCGCTCGGGCTCGACGCCTCCTGGGTGCCACTTTCCAGGCCTCGGTCGCTTAATCTTAAAATTCCTGTGATGGCCACTACCAAGTGCCGGCGAAATCGACCTCTGGGTAAGATTGAATTTTGATATTAGTATGATAATTGATTATTTTTTGTCATTCCGGCCGTAAGGCAGCGCTTCACGGACGACGCGTGTCTTGTGACCCTTATTTCGATCCTGGTGACCTTTACTTTCTAACCCGTGATTTTTTACCCTCATGACCCGTAAGTTTGACCCTCGTGACCCTTATTTAGACCCTTAATCCAACCCTTGCGACCCTTAATCTGACCCTTATGACCCTTAATCTGACCTATATGAACTATAATCTGACCCTTAATCTGACCCTCGTGACCCTTATTCTGATCCTCATGACCCTTATGTTGACACTCGTGACCCTTATTCTCACCCTTATGACCCTTATGCTCACCCTCGTGACCCTTATTCCCACCCTTATGACCCTTACTGTGACTCTCAATTTGATCCTCATGATCCTTATTTAGACCCTTAATCTGACCCTTGTGACTCTTAATCTGGTGACCCTTATGACCCTTAATCTCACCCTCGTGACCTTTATTCTGATTCTCATGACCCTTATTCTTACCCTCATGACCCTTTTTTAGACCCTTAATCTGACCCTTGTGACTCTTAATCTAGTGAACCTTATGACCCTTAATCTGACTCATATGACCTGTAATCTGAGCCTTGATCTGACCCTCATGACCATTATGCTGACCTTCATAACCCTTATGATCCTCATTTTGACCCATGTGACCCTTATTTTGGAGTCTTAATTTCGAGTACCAAATTTTTATCACCCGAAGTCGATTTGGATTTTTATAATATAGAGAGATAATAATGGCTATAAGAAGAATTTAAGAAAATGCAATTTTCTATTGAAGAAAATTAATTAAAATCCTGCTCTCGTAATATCGAAATAAATTAAGAAAAATCACATGAATGTAGTCTTTCCCAATAAGTCCATTGCCCGTCAGAACAAAAGGCAATCACTGAATCTTTGAGCGAAATAAATTCTCTATTTATAACTCTAAATATATTCCTCGCAGTCAAAATGTGATAATGCAGTCCTTCAATTATCTCGAATATGTGTGATCTTTCTTCGATTTTCAGAATGTGTTTAAGTATGGAATTTGAGTTGTTCAGATACAAAAATCAATTAAAATCTGAATTTTCATTTTAAAAAATGTTATATAACCCCATTACATGCCAGCAAGAATCAGTGATTTCAGTCTCTTGACATAGAATTGGAAAAAGTTTTGACAGATTTTTGCAACACAAAATTTCTTGATTTTTTCGTCAAAAAAATCTTGCAATTGCCTCATCAACACGGAGAGAAATATTCAATAAAAATTACGTATCTTTTCCGTAATTCCGGAGCGAAATTATTCTGGAGCGTTCCGTAATTTTTATCTGAATCTCCTGTGAAAAATTACGATACCGTCACTTAAATTTTCTGAGTCGATTCCGTAATCGGTGAGTGAACTGTGAGTTCCGTAATTTTTACTGAACATTTCTCTCCGTGTATGAGACTAACTTGAATGTGGTGACTAATTTGAAAGATTTAAGGAGAAAGAAAGTTCTTGTCAATTTTTACGAAAATTTCCATTTTATTTCCGTTAACTCTAGGTCAAAAAGCATCGGAGGAGGAGGGGAGTGAGAGTCCAGAGAGTGGAAATAGGGACGAAGGGTACTCGACAATGTCGTCAGACGTGCAGGGTGAGGGTGCACGTCAAGAGCCAGCACGTGGTTTGGAGGACCTCAAAGAAGCAACAGACGAAACTGAAGCCGACGTATCCCCCGATGCTCGTCTCGTCGCCCTCGACACCGCTGATCCCGATGTCCTGTTTCTACCTTTGAATCTCACTGTTGGAATCAATCCAAGACACAGTTATCCACCGTCAAAGGATCTTCTACCCTATCAGCATGTGATGAGGAGTTTCTCTGATAGCCACTTGTATCTCAAGTTGGCTGCCGCGACAGCCAATTTAACTCATTCTCCTTATAATATTCCCAGCCCTGCTGGCTCCTCCAGTCTGCTATTGGTGGAGGAGGAGGGATGGGACGCTGAGTATGTTCAGCAGTGGTTGAGGTAAAGTTGAAATGTTGGAAATCGATAATTATTAAGAATTCTTTTCAAGACTGATCTATTCACTGAATTTTTCCATTTTTTGAGGCCCATAGAGAAAACAAATGGGAAATAACTCTTGTATTTTGCACATCATTTCCTTCTATCATGTATAATTTATTGTTCACTTCATTTTATTAAATTGAATGAGAGTTCCTTTTACCTAATTTTGTCAGATTTTCAACTTAATTAAATGTTATCAGCATCATTATTCTTATTATTCCGTTCTTCTATACAACCGATTGTCTTTTTTACAGTTCTATCCCTCCCCTCAGCCCCTCCATAAAATGTTGATAGAAAAATTTTATACACACAAACTTGAATGAATTTGACATTTCACATTTGAAGAAACCGTCAGAAAGCTCACTTTCAAGGAAATTCATGGAAAATTCAAAATTTTCAACAATCATCATAAAAATCAAATCAAGCAATATAGCTATCATTATCATGTTTTAACTTCGACTTAATGGCATTAAAATAAACATTTTAAGCTAGGATTGAATTCTTTTGTAGCATTGTATTCAAAGATATCCTCGGGATTCTGATTTTCAAAGAATACAAAATTTTTGAAAAGTCTTGAATAAATCAAAATAACGATTATTGCTATCGCCTTTATCTTTGAACTCGGTCAAGGGGACATCCAAACAAATTTTTTAAACCATTATTCAATCAATTCAGAACATTTTTTTTAGTTATCGTGGGACAACTGATTCAAAAATTAAAAGAACTAATCGATGAATTAAATTTTAATTAATGACGATCGATAGGGCTCAACGATACCTACATTTGAGAAAAAAAGGATTCAATTCCATCCATTCATTAGCGAACAAATGAAGAAAAACTTTACCACACACATATGGGTCCATATAATACAAAAAATTCTAAACATAAATTTGAACGATTACAATGCTTCATTCGGAAGCCAAAAGTTTTCAGTATTCATTGTCATTAAAACTCTCTGAATAAATTTTCACTCATTCTATGATTTTATTGAAAATTTTGCAAAAAATTTCAAACTTTCACTAATTTTACCTTAAATCTAGTATAATTGACAATAGAAAATGTAATATAATTGCACAAAAATTGAGGTACGTTTTTACTTATTTTAAGGAAAAATTAATTCTTGAATTCAGAACATTGGTTCGCAAATGTAGAGCATTCTCGTTATTGAATTGACGATTCTTCCTCTTCAAAAATTATTCTACTCATATTTCAACTATTTGTGAAAATACCTCTGAATACCTCTTCTGAATTCCTCTTTTATAATTCTATTTTAATGTAATTTACAAGTCCTTTGTTATCAAAAGTCTGTCAGCCTTGAATAAATTAACGTTGAACATTAATTTAGTCACAGATTCGTAGTTCTTCAAGAACCCTATTTTCTCACTTGAAATAAATAGATTTTTGATACTGAATTTTCGAGATTTTTCTTCTGAAATTAACTAACCAGTTTCTTATTTTCGGCACAATACATGATAGAACCATGAGTTTCTTTCCCAGTAAAAATCATTGAATCTCAATATTTTATCGCACGAAAATGTAGCGAACAAAAAATTCTGGAAATTAGTGTAATCTTCACTAATTTTGAGGAAATTTTTTTCGAGAAATCAGAAAAAAACGTCAAATTCGCAATCATTTTAACTGAAATGTAGTACAATTTTAAGGGAATCCTCTCTGAAAAATCCGATAGCAAATATTCTAATTCTCCATATGATTTTTTCATTGATAAATACTTTGAATCACTAACTCGTTTCTGGAAACTACAAATTTTTTCTCTCTGCGTTGATAATTGAGAGTGAAATCAAATTGTCGAATTAGCGCAATCCAAAGAGCTCCATAACTCATCCAATAAAAAAATATTTTATCTGTGCAGATTGGACGACTCCAGAAGTGCCCAACAACATAGAGACCTCCTGGAGTTGGAGTACGATCGTGCAGAGCTTGAGGACTGGTCATTTTCCCTCTCCAGCGAAGACCTCCGCGCTGAGCCCACCTGGAAGGAAGAAACTCGTCCACTGGCTCCAACACTCCCAGCGATAAAGGAACACAATCCCATTGAACTGGAGGAGGACGCCAACGAGTGTCTTTGGAACGGTGCGAGTTATCTAGCTGACAGAACCGGTGGCGAACTCGTGGCACTACTCATGGACACGAGATCGTCTGGCCCCTGGCCCTATGCATCAAGTCCTGGGGCATCTTGGAGCAGTGAGGATGGCATTCTCGAGTGCTCGAGCAAACGCTCATCAGCAGCTCTATCTGGTTATAGTGATGATCAAGACTCACCCTCAATTGGTACGGATTTTACCAGGGATTTTTATCGACTAGTCAAATTTGAAAGCACTAAAAGCCTCGCTAGCACGTCTTCCAAGGGTGGAAAACCACCTGATCGTGAACAGACACTTCAGAGTGTACTTTCATTCATTGCTGAACAACAAATGTACCTCACTGAATTGCCAAACAATTCACATTGCAAAGATCAAAATGATATCGAAGGTAAATGAATGGTTTTTCTTATTAGTTCAGGATTTTTTGGGGATTTTGGAGCTGGGGGAGAGCTTGGTGGTATGTAGCCAGGGAAATTTCGGGTGGAATATATATTCTGAAGTCGTTTTATATTCTTAATTACTAAATTCGATCTATATAGATCTGTTCTACACTGAAAAAAGAAACAACTGGTGCCAAGACTGATATTTTTTCGTTTGATCACACACATGAAAAAATTTAATAGAAAAACCTAGCGAATTCGTTGGAAAATTCTATTGGATTTCTATTGAACTTTCTATTAGTTTTTAGCCGATTGTATTGAAATGTGCAATAGAAAATATTCAATAGAAAAACTCAATAGAATTCGCTTTTTCTACACAACTTATTCAGATATTCTCTATAGAATTTCTTCGGCTCAAATTGTCCAATTTTTTTTTCATCCTATTGTTCTCATCATTGCTCTCATCAACAAATTCAAACAAAAAACTTGGAAAATTTAAGCCAAGGAAATTCTGTAGAAAATATCTCAATAGAATAAATTATATAGAAAAATTGAATTCTATTGACTTTTTCTATTCTAACATTTCAATAGAATCGGCCAAATATTAATAGAAAGTTCAATAGAAATCTAATAGAATTTTCTAACGAATTCGTTAGGTTTTTCTGTTAAAGTTTTTCATCGGCACATACATCAATTTCAAAACATTCACAATCACTATGAAAAAACAACAATTAAATATTTGGATACCTGTTGTTACTTGTTCAGAATGAAATCAGCTCTCATAAAGTGAAGTCATTCTGAATTATTCTTAATTATTAACTTCGTTCTACATAAATCTCTTTCACATTGACAAAACAAAAAAAAATGGTTCTCAAAGAAGTGTTCTTTGAGCCGAAAGAATCGCGAGTTGATTATTACCGAAATTGAAATTTTTTCGTTTGGACATAAATCATTGAATTTCTCAAGTAAATTGCGCGAGAAAAATTTGAAAAAAATCATGAATATTCAGTGTTATTAAAATTACATTTTGTACAGAATTATTAGTTTTTAAACATCCGTTGTTTATAAATTATTTTATGGTGGGAAATTGATTTTTTATAAATTATTTATAGAAAATGTTCACAGTTTTCAAAAAATGCAATTTTTTAATTATTTCATCAATCTTCCTCCAAAAATAAACTTTCCCATTTTTTTAGACACCTTTAAAATGTTTTCTAACGGTTTAATGTCGAGACTTAAATTTAAACCAGCAAAATTTAAATAATAAATCATAAAATAAAATCATAATGATAAATCATTATTATGATCATTATTATCATTGATTTTTTATTATAATCATAATACTAAATCATTGTAAAATGGTCGGATACTTGAAAACAAAGGGAGCTTAAATGAAAGCTTTGATGAGAAAAAATAGCCAAAGTAGTTGGATATTCTTAAATTGAACACAAATAACAACCGTTTTTTCTGTTGTTTGCGTTCAATTTAATGCTATTAGTTATGTCTTCGTACACAACTGGTTTAACCATTACCGTAACTAAATTTATTTTTGCCACAAAAATTTTTCATCTCACGACGCTCTTCAAATGTTCAACACAAGATTTTTCATTTCCTACTAGTTTCCACCTTGCGATGTTTTTGAATCAAGAAAACTTGTTTGAGAACTTTTTTTTACTCTTGAAATGTGAGGAAAAATGTGTTTTGCTCGAGAACTTTTTTTTTAATGATTAATCTAGGGATATATCTCAGAGGAAATTTCCCTGGCTTCTTAATTATAATCGTTAGAATGGTAGTCTTTCGAATTCTAAAATTCTAGTTAGAAAATCAGTCGAGAATCGATAAAACGGTTTAAGTCGATTTTAACTATTAGCCAGTCTTCAATGAATATCTCGAAATCTAAAGGAGATAGCAAAATTTCTGTTATAACTTTTTTTATAGCCCTTAATTTGCTCTGTAGAAAAGGTCGTGAGGAAAATTTCGTTATCTCCCTTGAATTCGGAGATATTTCTCGAAAACTCAGCTAAGGGCTAAGTCGACTTAAACCGTTTTGCCGCTTCGCTACTGAAACAAATAGTGCGTAATCAGACAAAATTATCATTCCTCTTAAACCTACATTCACCTCGGAACAAATGAGAAATCTATTTGAAAAATTCATAATTTTATATTGTTTATTTTGTGTACTTCATAAACTTCATCAGCTTATCTCATAAATTGATGCAACTCCTCAGCTTCAGTTAGCACAGTAGAACTCCGTTATTTTCAATTTTATCGCACTAGAAAAATTAGAATTGATGAAAATAAATATTTTAGTTGCTGATTATGAGTACAAAGGGGATAACGGAGTATTGATAGACCACGAGGGGTCGGGAGATCCGAAACCATCGGCTGAAGCAACTGAGAGACTTCCAGAGGTGCCTCCGGTGCCTTCTGGACAATCAGGAGAGCAATTCGAACGCATTCAAGGAATTTCGTCGCTACCTGACGATAGAATCGTACCGTGCACTGGGTTAGGCGAGTTGGGGGCTGTTCCTGAAGAGGATGAGGAGGGGGCAACGTCCTCCACCCCCAGTACAGTCGTAAGTACCACGAAAAAATAGAAATACAAGAAAAACAAGTGGATAATTGCATTTCATTGGAATGCACATAGTTGTTGTTGCTAATAAATTAGCAATTAGCCTCCGAATGGAATTTTCGTTTTAAGAATACTGTTTTTTTTCTCTCAATTATCAGATCCATCGTATTTATGAAAATCTATTAAAATAATTATCTGTTGAATTTTCACCGGCGGCAGTGGCTGTGTGGTTAGCGTGTGACGATAATTAAAAATCAGGTTTAATAGCCAGTTCCTGATTTCCACAACTCCGAGTAAAAGCCACTGGCGCATTCATCCAGATCCAACACCATTTACCCCACACTTCAAAGTAAACATAAATAAATATAAGATACGAAACGGGCATAGCCCGTATGCACTCTCCGCCCCATTTTTATTATAAGTCAGTACGTTTTTCATGTTTTTTTAGTAGCAATCAATCCCCCCAACTATGTACAATGTAAATAATTTGGCTTAATAAACATGGTGGAGGTGGGGGCGGGGGTGGGGCCAAAATTTGTGACACGCTAAACGTCACGTTTTACCTTCTTGATATAAAAGGTAAAACGCTATCGTGCAACTTGATAAATAATAATGGTATCACCATTATCTTCTCACTTTATCAAGGAAGTGTCGAAACAAACTTTTTGAGCCGTATTTTTGACATTGCAGATGTTTTTTTCTTAGTTTATCACGAAAAATATGAAAAACAAAATTCACAAACAATATGCTGCAACTTAATAACGAATGATGCGATTCTCATCACATTCTGATACGATCAAGAGGCTATCCATATTAATTTTTTAAGCCCTGGATAATTTTACTTCAATGACGATTTTTTGAGTGATCGTTGAAAAATCGATTTTTGAAAAAATACTCATATTTCCGAATTTCTACGAAAAATTTAATTCCAATTGGTGTCAATGGATAGAGCTTATGGGAGTCTATATTCATGAGAAAATTCATGAAAATCCATCGATCCTTTATGGAGGAATTTAAAAAAAATAAAAAATACAAAAAAGACCACACACATATATACATACATACATACATACACACATACATACATACAGACATCATCTAAAAATCGCATATTCTAACTTTTTAGACCATATTTAGTTACCCTGACACAAAAAATCGGAAACTTAAATTTCGACGATTACAAAGCTTCCATTCGGAAGCAAAACAAGTGGATAATTGCATTTTTACTTCCGAATGGGAGCATTGTAAGCGTTCAAATTTAAGTTTTGGATTTTTTGTATTATATCGACCCATTATGATCCAAAAAGTCCAAAAATGCATTGTTTAGACCGTCCGTCCGTATGTGTATTTATGTATGTATGTATGTGACAACGTTTTTCGTCAATTTCTCGCTAATGAATCAATAGAATTGAGTCTTTTTTTTTCTTAAATGAAGGCATTGCTAAGCCCTATCCATCGCCATTAATTAAAATCTAATTCATTGATTCATTTTTTCAATTTTAGAATTTTTTCAAATTCAGTTGTAACACAATAACAAAAAAAAGTTCTAAATTCATCGAATGAGGGCTTAAAAAATTCGTTGGAATGTCCTTTTGATCGAGTTCGAAGATGAAAACGACAGTAATAATCGTTATTTGGATTTCTGTAAAATTTTTCCAAAATTTCGTATTTTTCGAAAATCAGAATTCCGCAGATACCTCTGAATCTTGCGCTTTAAATAAATTCAATCATAGCTTAATATATTTGTTTCAATGCGACTATAACGAAGTTAAAAGGTGGTTACAATAACTGTCTCAGTTAATTTGATTCTTAGGATAATTTTTGCAAATTTCGTTTTTATTATGAACTCCCCTGAAAGTTAGCTTTCTGATGGTTCCTTTAAATGTCATATTTCTAATGCATTGAATTATGTATAAATGAAATATTCCTGATAATATTTCATCGAAATTTTCAGAAATTTTTAGAATTTCATCAAGTGGAAAATATAGAAAAATTAGTTGGAAAGAAATTAATTCAATTCAAGAAAATGAAATAGGCTATGAATAACACACAATGGAAAAAATAAGCAAAATGACCATTCGGAAGCATATTGCTAATTTATTAGCAAAAATAACTATACTATACGCAATACAGGAGCAATTTCCTACTTGTTTTATATGAGCAGATCAACGAGAAATCAGCAAACCAAAAAAGTGGATATGCTGGGGATTTTTAACTCGATTTAGCTGAAATTGACGGAATGTTTTCATCGACGCGATTTGAATTAAATAGATGGGTTTATTTGAATGGTTCATAATTGAGCTGTTATCCAAACTTAAGACCCGTGGGTTATCTTTCAAACGTGACCTTGATTGTTTTTTTAATTTTGATAATCTGAAATGATCTCCAATTGCTATTCAGTTTTACATAGCCCTGGAGTCTCTAAAAATTGTGTTTGTACAATCAAAAAAACGTTGAAAAAAAGCTGAACATTATCAAAGAGCGTTTTTGAAAAATATTGGGAAATAAACTCAATAGGGAAGAAATTTCAAATTAATAATTCAATGTATCTAATGGTTGTTAAGTCGTCATTTGTCACAGTAATCAATGGCTGTCAGATCGTTAGTTACCATAATAAATTATCTATTCACCATTTCCTCTCTATCGGACTTATTTCTTAATCTTTATTAAAGGCGCTCTTTGAAAATGTTCAGTTTTTTCTACTTTTTTTTTGATTGTACAATGATAATTTTTAGGGACTCCCGCGTGATGTAAAATCCAATGGAAATTGTGATATATTTTACATTATGAAGATGGAAAAGCAATCGAAATAACGTTCGAAAGATAATCCACTTGGGCCTCAAATGAAAAATTATTACATGTAAACGTACATAAAGCATTTTCACAATGATTTCATTTCGAACTAAGGGAAGCCCTTATTTGGATCGAAAATACATTTGTCTATATTTTAAAAACCATTGAATTGATGTGAATAAAAACCTAAAGAAAACTCTAATTTTAGTTTCTGTAACAACTCAATTATGAACCATTAAAATAAACCCACTTATTCGATTCAAATGGCGTCAATAGGACCATTCTATCCATTTCAGCTAAATCTCAAGGGATTTTTCTTGTAATTAGAGAAATTTTTCACAAAAAAATTCACGTTCTTCTCTTGACATTCTCTTGAAATTTCATGTTTTTCATACTCTAGGTAAGTCCGGCAAGAGCTCCCCTGCTCATCGAAGGTCAGGACAGATCCATCAGCTTCCACGAAAGAGCGACATCAAAAGATGTGATCAATGAACTCAACAGAATGATAAGAAAAGGCGAGGAAAATCAAAATCAGTCACAGGAACAAAATGTTTCCATCGATAAATTGGATCTTGCGTGTTGCTGTCCCACTGGATGGGTGCATGTTGAACGTGACATCGATTTCACTGATCCAAAGGTAATTTTCCAATATTTCGAGGAACAATATCATTTAATTTATACAAAATTATAGGAGGCAATTTTTTAATCCTTTCTAAGGACTACAGGAATTTTATTCTTCAACAATTTCATTTTTGCTTTGGAATGGAAGTATTGTAATCGTCCAAATTTAATTTTCGGATTTTTTGTGTTATCGACCCATTTATTATGATCCAAAAAGTCTGAAATTATAATTTTTAGACCGGGTTCGTACGTATGTGTGTGACAAAGGTTTTCTTCAATTGTTCGCTAATGAATCGGTGGAATTGTTGGGCCCTGTCCATCGACATTAATTAAAATTTAATACATTCAGTAATTTTTTTTATTTATTCAAAAATCGGTTGTCCTACGACCTACGATAACAAGTGGGAAGTTGTATTACATATAGTATAGTTATTTTTGCTAATAAATTAGCAATATGCTTCCAAATGGGTATTTTGCACATCATTTCATTCTATCATATACAGGGAGAATTCAACACCTCGTTTACAAATTGTGAGGAAATATAGAATGGATAATCAGTAATTCAATGGCATAAGAATTATGAAATTACGATAATAAATTTTTGAATAGTGAGCGTTAGAATTTTTCAATGGTTTAGCCAATAACATCATGGTAGACTCCCGCCATGCTGTCATGATTGAAAAGGGCGATAGTACGACAATTATGGCAATATTTACCGCGATGATTTTAGCGACATTGTGCGCGATAGTTGGAGCACCATTATGTGCGACGGTGAGCAATATTCATTGCAGCCATGAACCGATAATTTTATCGATATGAAGAGCGATATTAACTATCATATGAAGTCCCATTGGTAACTGCGTCATCGTTTCCAATTATAGCGGTAGTCAATCGCAATGTAATTGGCTGAAGTATTGAAAAATTCTAATGTTCACCATTTAAAAGTCTATTATCGGAATTTGGTCATTTTTGTACCATTGAATTCCCGCTTTTCTATTCTATATTTGGCTAAAATGTGTAAACAAGGTGCTGACGTCACCCTGTATAATTCATTGTTAATTTCATCTTATTGAAATGAATAAGATTTCTTTTTAACTAATTTTGTCAAATTTTCAACTTGGTGGAATGTTATCATCATTATTCCTATTATCCCTTTCTTCTATACAAACGATTGTCTTTTTGACGGTTCCATTTCTCTCCTCAGCCCTTCGATAAAATGATAATAGAAAAATTTTATTCACACATACTTGAATGAATTTGAAACATCACATTTGAAGGAATTGTCAGAAATCTCACTTTCAGCGAAATTTATGAAAAATTCGAAATTTTCAACAATCACCATAAAAATCTAATCAACCAATATAGCTATCGTAATCATCCTTTAACTTCGACGTAATGCCATTAAAACAAACATTTTAAGCTATGATTGAATTTATTTGAAGCATGATATTCAAAGATATCCCCAGAATTTTGATTTTCAAAAAATACAAAATTTTTGTAAATTTTCAAATAAATTAAAATAACGATGATTATTTTTCTCACTCGAATTTCAGCCAATCAGAGGGCAATATTTGAGAATGTCAAACAGTTTTATTTCGGAAATTTCTAAAAGATTTCCGACGGAAATTCACTAGTAGCTTTTCAAATGTTTCTCATCTTTCAACGCATTTCACGTTTAATATTCTGTGTGACAGATAAACAAAAAAGTGGGTTGTAAATGTATGGCTGTGTAAATATATCTGAATGCTGTTTACTGCACTTTGCTTGACCGAAATCCGAGTGGAAAAATAATCCGTCAAATACCACTCGTGCTTCAAAATTAATCGGATATTTTCCTCAAGCTTCCCTGTCTAGGAACGAGTGTATCAAATTTGACAGAAAAATCCCTCGTGCTTCGCACTCAGGATTTTAAACCTGCAAAATTTGACACAATCGTTCCTAGGCAACGAAGCTATCGGAAAATATCCGATAATTTTGAAGCACTAGTGGTATTACTACTAATTACTATCGTCTTCATCTTCGAACTCGATCAAAAGGACATCCAAACAAATTTTGTAAGCCATCATTCAATCAATTTAGAATATTTCTTTTAGTTATCGTGGAACAACCGATTTTCGAAAAAATGCGAAAATTAAAAAAACTAATCGATGAATTAAATTTTAATTAATGGCGATCGATAGGGCTCAACAGTACCTACATTTGAAAAAAAGGATTCGATCCTATCCACTAGCAAACAATTGAAGAAAAACTTTGTTACATCCGTACACACATACACACACACACACACACACACACACACACACACACACGTATGGCGGAAGTCTAAAAATTGCATTTTCCGACTTTTTGGATCATATTGGGTCGATATCTCTCTATAGTATAAAAATCCAAATCGACTTCTGGTGATAAAAATTTGGTACTGAAAATTAAGATTTCCAAATTAAGGGTTATGAGGGTCAGAATAGGGGTCACGAGGGTCAGATGAAGGGTCCCAAGGGTCAGAATAAGGATCACGGAGGGCAATGGAGATTGGCGAGCGGATTGCGCATAGAAATTCTAAAGGATTTCCGTATATGATACTCAGATATTTCTACACGAACATTTTCTAGACGAATAAATTTTTACATAAATTTTTGTTTTCATAGGAAAGATGTCTAAATGCTCCAGAGAAAAAAGTCGAGAAATGTCGCAACTCCATATGAAATGTTTCTATACATGTGGCAGTGGGTCCTATAGGATCAAATCTATATAAATCGTATAGAAATAATTTGTATAAAAAATATCCCTATAGAAATATCCGAATATCATATACGAAAATCCTGTAGAAATTCTATAGGCAATCTGTATAGAAAATTTCTATACGATTTTTTCATTCGCTAGCGAGCACAAAAACCCCACATAATTCACAAAAAATTCAAAACTTAAATTTGAACGATTACAAAACTTCCATTCAGAAACAAAAATGATGTGCATTTATTAGCAAAAATAACTACACTATACGAAGACGAGAGCAATTTCCCACTTATTTGAATATTCATTTGCAGGCAAGAGCAAATCTTCTCGATGTAATGTTGGCGAGTTCAGAAAGCTCGTCAGCAACATCGAGCAGTGGATCAGCTGGGAGTGACTCTGGGGATGAGCCCTCGGATTATCGTCATCTACATCGTCTCCATCGCTATCGACGACAGAAGAAAGGTTTGAAAAAATTAAAATTGAAATAGAAAATAAGGGAGATACAATTATTTCTCATTGATTTCTGAATTTGTATCTAACAATTAACTCACTTTGCGGCTTCCTGCCACTATCTGCTTTGTGTCTAACTCACTATCATCAGAATTAACTGGAGATTTCATTGTTACGATAACACTTCTTTAATCTGTAATTAATCTCGTAAATTCTTGTGCTAATATCGAAATCATTTATTTAACGTTTCATAATCATGTGAATTTGGGAAAGTCATTCTTGATGAATTTATGAACACAACTGTAAACTTTATGATTAGTTGAGCTTTCTGTGATGAGAATAGCCATCGAATTATTTTTTTTTTCAATTTCTTATCGACAATTGACATTTTTCGACTTTTTCAACTCGTAAAAGCCCTTTGAGTGCTACCATTTTCGATATTTTTCAAAGATTTTTTTTTTATTTATTCGCGATGAAACTACTCAATTCCTTCTGTGAAGGCCCAGATGGATTATCTTTCGAACGCTATCTGGATTGTTTTTCCATCTTTATAGTCTAAAATATATCACAATTTCCACTGAATTTTACATTACGTCGGTGGCCCTAAAAATTATGATTGCCCAATCGAAGAAGGTAGAAAAAAAACTGAACATTTTCAAAGAGTATTTTTAATAAAGATCAGGAAATAGGTCCGACAGAGAGGAAATCAAATAGAGCATTTTACCAAGAAAATGCTGTGTCGGCGTTAAAGTATGCCCTGATATTTTATTCTCAAATCCTTCCTTTCGGAAATAATTTCATAACTAGTAATTCTTCAATACAGAAACGAAAAATCAATGAATCAAGAATGACCAAGAATGCTTCCTAAATTATCTTCCCAATTTATCACATCAATTGAAAACATCGATAAAAACTGTACGAGAATTTACGAATTCTGGAATTAAGTGGTGAAAGTAGATAAGTCCAAAGATTCCATAGCTCTCAAACTAACCTGCATCACTAATTTCTGACCTACCCAGAACAATTTTCATAATCAATTATAACAATTTTCTAATGTGCGAAAGTATCTAAAAAATGAGTGAATTCACTCGAAAATCCTAAAGGATTTTTTTTCACGCACGAAGAAATTTAATAGAAAAATCTAGCGAGTTCGTTAGAAACTTTATCGGGTTTCTATTGAACTTTCTATTAGTTTTTGGCCGATCCTATTGAAATGGTCAATAGAATCCGATTTTTCTATAAAACTTATCCTCTTTAGATGGTTTCTATAGAATTTCGTTGGCTCAAATTTTCAATTTTTTTCATTCTACTTTTCTTTTCTTCTCATCAAGGAAATTAAACAAAAAAACTTGAAAAATTCGTGCCGAGGAAATTTTATAGAAAATATCTCAACAGAATATGTTGTATAGAAAAATCGATTTTCTTTGGCTTTTTCTACAGAATATTGTCTATTGAACATTTCAACAGAATCGACCAAAAACTAATAGAAAGTTAAATAGAAATCCAATAAAATTGTCTAGCGAATTCGCTAGATTTTTCTATATAAGTTATTCTCTTCAGATATTTTTTTTAGAATTTCCTCGGGTCACATTTTACAAGTTTTTTTCATTTTTTTCTTCTCATCAAGAAAATTTAAAAAAACGTAGAAAATTTGGGTCGGGGAAATTCTATAGAAAATATCTTGATAGAATAAGCTGTATAAACAAATCGAATTCTTTTGGGAAAATCTAATAGAAAATTCAATATAAATCCAATAGAATTCTAGCGAATTCGCTAGATTTTTCTATTAAATTTGTTCATCCGTGTTGAAATCTGAAAAATGCTCCACAAAAAAAAAATTTGTAACATATTTCTTTAAATTCAAAAGCCCTCAATTATCAACCGAAGTTTGGACTTATCTCCTTCAACCTTCATCATCTCTCAAACTTTCATAATTCTTTTTGTACTCACCCATACCTACATATTTTCATTATTTTCTGTTCAGATGGTAGCGCCTACGCGGTGTGCTTTGATTGTCACGAGAAGAGCTATGTAGTTCGGCTTAGTGATGACCAATTTCTATAAAAATAATAGACAAACAAAAAAACCCGAACGAAACCACAGAATGACCGCAAAAAAACCGAAAACCGATCAGAAAACAATCGAGGAAAAAAATTTCTAAGCCGAACTACTGTGCCAAAAAACGCTAGAAGGATAGAGGAATGAGAGGAAAATGAAAAATTGAACGATTTTTGGATATTTGGAATGAAAGGAAAAACGAAAATTGAAGGAAAAGAAAAGAGCAAAAAAAAATTGAAATTGGTATTTCTCAGCATCGGCAGTCCAAGCCCATCGGGTTCTACGTTTGACATCGTCATGGGGCTCAACCAGACCCTCAATTATTGGACGAGGTGATGATTTTTACGTACGTTATGGCGACAAGGAGAGAGAGGCCGTTGCCTCCTTTGATTTTCTCGATGATATCACAGCTAATTCATCGTCATCTGGTGAGCTTGATGACTTACTTCCCACTACGGAATTTATGAAGGTCTCACCATTGTGAAATTGAGCTTAGAGAGATGGAAATATACAAAGTTTAGGGGATAAGAATTGTGTTTTTCAATTGTCGAGGGGTTTGAGGAATTCAAACTTGCTGAGGAGAAAGGAGGGAGATTGAACGTTGATACATTGAGAGAAAAAAACATTCTAATGAGTTCATGTTTTAAGAAATTAGTAAGGATGGGGGAGACTGGGGCAAATAAAACAGGCATTCAAACAAAAAAAAATTTTTTTATCAACTTTTGTTAATTAACTTTTTTCATTATTGGGAGTACTGATGAGAATAATAATTTTTTATTCGTCTTACTAGAGGGCTACATCCCCTGCTTGCTCCGCTCGCCAATTCCCATATGACCCCCAGTCTAATCCCCATATGACCCTTATTTGGGCCCTTATTCTGACCCTTTAAACCCTTTATTTCTCACCCTTGGTTTTTGATCCTTAATTTTGGAATCTCAATTTCGAGTACTAAATTTTCATCACCAGGAATCGATCTGGGTTTTGATAATATAAAGAGGACCCTTATTCAGACCCTCATGACCCTTAATCGGGCCCTTGTAACCCTTAATTTTAGAGTCTTAATTTCAAGTACCAAATTTTCATCACCAGAAGTCAATTAGGATTTTTATAATATAGAGAGATTCGTTTTATAATTCAATTGATTAGATTAGTCCGATGACACTTTTTTTTTCATTCGTTTTAAATTCAGCATCACATTTTCCTTTTTCGACTGTTTCATTTTGCCCCACTCTACACTATAAAATAATTATTAAGAACCGCCTTCTTAGTAATTATTAAGAAATCATTATTGAGAAGATAATTAGCAAGATCAAAAAATTTAAAAAACGTTCAAAATGCCCTAAAATAATGAAAATATTTCTTGATAATGAATGCATAATGAATAATTCACCTCTTGAGTCAAATATTTCGTTGTTGAAGACAGCAATTATTCATGTTTGAAACAGTTCAGTAGCGAAGCGATAAAACGATTTGAATCGATTTTGACTATTGGTCAGTTTTTAATAAATATCTCGGAATCGAAGGCGAATAGCAAAATTTTTGTTATAACATTTTTTGTAGAGAGAATTCAGAGCTACAAAAAAAGTTATTATGGAAATTTCTCTATCTCCTTTAGATTGGGAGATATTCCTCGAAAATTCAGCTAAGTCGACTTAACCCGTTTTACCGCTTTGCTATTGAATTTTCATTTTGGTAATTTTCAACTTGCGCTTTTTAGGTTCAAGCAAGACTCGTGTGAGAACATGTTTCTTTTCTCTCAATGTAGATTGAACAGTCAGAGAAATTTCTGGCTTTAAAAATTTGCTGACGATCGATAGATCTTTGGGAATTTTACAAATCGAGGGAAAAAGAGTTAGGAATAGATGATGAGAACGAATTTTGGTCGGAGCACGGGAAATTCTGACGAGTGATCGATTGTAAGTCAGAGATGTGCAGCGGAAATTTCCGTAGTTTTTTAATTGAGACAGGTTCCAACTCTTGAAGTTCTGAGGAATGATGAGGAAAGTGAAATTATCTGTCAATGAATTTCGAATTTCTTAGGATAAAGATTAAAACAGATTTCGTTCTCGATTTTTAGAGGATTGTAGAATTTTTTTTTGGTAATGAGGGGATGAATTTTGTAGGCGACTTTTCAAGTCTGAAGAACTGTGAGAAAAATTTATTTATTGAAATGTAAACTCGAGAGTTGAAATCATTTTTTAAGAGTTTTTTCGAGGTCACTAGACAATGATAGTGATAACGTTAATACGCCAACGAGATATTTTACACGTTAAAATTCAAAATAACATGAGAAAACAACGATTATAATTTAATTGAATTTTATTTGTCATTTATAGCAGCGAATTAATTCAATTTGAAAATTTTCAAATTGTAAAATTTCTCGTTATCATTCCTGTAGATAGTTTCTCCTAGTGACGACTGATATGAATAAAAAATAATGATAAAACGAACTATGTTTAATTTATTCTTAGGCTTCAACAAATGTATTTTTCCTTTATTTTATTTCATTTTAATTTTCACGATTTGTTTTCCCTTTTTTTTCCTATTGTAAAAAAATGGCACTTTTCAACTTACTATCGAGTGCAATTGGAAGGTACTACTAATTATTAAATTGAATGTGTAATTCGAAAAAAGATAAATTGATGAGAGAGAAAAATGTATATAGGAATGTATAATAGGTATAATAATAGAGAAAACAAAATTTAGATGTAAGTTAAATTTCTTTCAAATAAGGAAAACAGATCTTAATAAATAATGACAATATATCAAAGAGTGTTTTCTTAAATTATTCACTTAATTTAATCATCACTTGAATGAACTTATTTTTCACATGAAAAAATATTTTTATTCTATGTAAACAAAGAGTAGTTTCCAAATATGTTTGAATGAAAAAAAAAAAACGAATGAAAATGTTGATTTTTTGAGGAACCAATTTTTTTTGCAGTTTTCAGTAGTTTTTTCTCAATTTTGAACTCGGGATTTTTCAACTTCGGGAATTTACACTCTGTAATTACGACGATCTTCGTTTCGTATTGAGTTGGCTAGGCAGAGGGCGAAGATGATGCCGAGAAGCTGAAAGTGGAAAAAAATGAAATTATTACATAATAATAATTCGATAAAATGTTTAGTCTCCAATTCTCAATTTCTGTCATATTTAGTCTATTCATTCTATCAAAAGACGAAGATAGAACTCGAATTTATGGGTATTCTTTCAGTATTTGAAAAAAAATTGATTTTGAAACTTTCCGGAAACAATGAAAAATTAATTTTTTTCGTTTTTTCTGCCTACGGTTTTTTTATTTTTTTCCATTTATTATCGTTAAAATGAGATCATAAAATTCCAAAATATTCATATCCCGCTCATATTCGAAGAAAAAACAGTGATTCCAAGTTTCCACCGACACAAACGAAGAAAAACAAATTTTCTCCATTTTCTAGTCGATCATCCCATTTTAAAAATTTTCAATCTCCAATTCATGAGTTTTACAATTTATTGCCATTTGGGTAATTCTATTCATTCTATCAAAAGACAATGATAGAAATCGAATTTATGGGTATTCTTTCAGTATTAGAAAAAAAATTGATTTTGAAACTTTCCGGAGGCAATGAAAAATCAAATTTTTTAGTTCTTTCCGCCCACTTATTTTGCATTTTTAAATTTCTTCTCTCTGAAAGATTGATAAAATTCTAATACTTGAAGAAAAAAAAGTGATTGGAAGTTCCCGCCTACACGAAAAGAAAAAAAATCAATTTTCCAAATCCAAAATCAGTATCAAAAATCTATTTATTCGAAGTGGAAAAAGTTCTTAAATAAAAAAATTAAGAACCCCTATGGAGTTCTTAATTAAACTAAGAATATTCAAAAGGATTAAAATTCCGGAATGATTGAACACTAATTTAAGATTAATTGAGTCAAGGGGTCAGGTGATATGCTTTGTATAACAAACGATGTATAGACATGAGTAGATTAATTCTAGAACACGTAAAATCATCATTTCAAGAACGAAAATATTTTGAGAATTTGGATTTCTATTTTGAGAACCAAAATTTCCTTCAACTAACAGAAAATAATCCGTAAGGATATCCGAGTATCTTTTACTGTTGAGTACAGGCCAAACTATAGATTTAATCATTTTCAATCATCAAATTTGTCAATTAAATTGCGTAAGAAAAATTTGCAAAAAGATCATGAATAGTCAATGTCATTCAAAATACATTTTGCACAGACTTATTATTTTTTTGAATAGTCGTTGTTTATAAATAAATAATAAATAAATAAATCGATTTTTGGTAGAAGTCTGAATCGGAATAAATTTGCTACGATTTCGAACAAATGATTTTTATGATGGTGAATTGATAGTTTATACATTATTTCTAGAAAATGCCTGTAATTTTCAAGAATTGCAATTTTCCAATTATTTCATCAATCTTCCCCCAAAAGTAGACTTTCTAATTGTTTTTTCAGATTTTTAGAATGTTTTCTAACGATTCAATATTGAGATTCAAATTCAGACCTGCAAAGTTTAAATAATAAAATCATTGTAAAATGTCCGGAAACTTAGGGTCAAATAGGGCTCAAATGAAAGTTCTGATGTTCGGCTACAAATGTATAAAAGCATTTCACTAGCGCAAAAATAGCCAAAGTACTTGGATACCCTTAATTTATGTACAATTATACCAGATTCAAGTAAAAAGGACTAAGAATTGAAACATTTTTCTCTGACTATTGAAGACAATTGTCTCAAAATAAGTAAAAATTTCACTTATTTCCACGATTTTCTCCTGATTTATGAAATTCAAAAATTTTCACTGGCAATTAGAAACTTCTTTTCTCTCTGTCTGTATTGCATTCAATAACGAAGCGGTAGAACGATGCAAGTCGAAATTTGCAACCCTTTTGAGATGGGCGTTAATCTTAAAATTAAATCTTAAGAATTAAATCTTAGGAATCGATTTAGATGAAGATCTCACTCTCGAAAAAAATCGACTTGAAACTTGTCCCCTTCACTACTGAATGCCTTTTTGTACTTGACTCTTGTTCATCTTATCAAGGAAACTAATATTTACCTCAACTCCAGCAATTCCAAGGGCTATTCCACCCAGTCCCTTTCCAATCAATTTCAAGAACTCACTGAGTTGCTCGCCGCAACCAACGCTGTAAGGCTCTTTACCTCTCTCATTGCAAAATTGGTGTTTGTTTTCTTTCTCAACTTTGCAACACGACCAAGGGATTGATCCATTCAACGATCCACTCGACCAGTCATCAGGACCTTTAGCTCCACAACAGTGTAACTATGGAATGAAAAAGAAAAACTCTCACAGAAAGAAGAAGCGTGAAGACCTCTTAATAAATTCAACAGCTTCACTCAACTTTACGTGTTTTATTGAATTTATCCTGCTCTATTCTCATAATTTCAATATCATATTGATAAAAGTTAAAGTAATTACTCACCGTTTCCTGAATCAAGTCCATTTCAAGACGTGAATTCTCATCACGCCAGTAGTTGTTGACTGGGGTCTTCAATGAATTCGTCAATGTGCTGGCTTCAACATTTTTCAGTGAAACGAATGCCCAAATTGCAATACCAACTTGAATCACCAGAATTGTCAATAGTAGAACAGCATACTAAAATAACAAGAAATTGAAGCAAAGAAATCATTAGTATCTCGTTAATTTCGTTTACATAATTCTGTAGAAAAATGTTATGATGTTTATTTAAATAAGGGTCACGAGAATCAAAATAAGGGTGAGAGCAACGGTCATGGGGGTTAAAATGAGGGTCAGAAATGAAGGATCAGAAACTAAGGTTCACAAGGTTCAGAATAAGGCTACAAATAAGGGTCATGGGGATTAAAATAAGCGTCAGAAACTAAGGTTCATAAGGGTCAGAATAAGGTTCATGGGGTAATATAAAAGTTAGAATAAGGGTCTAAATAAAAGTTATGGGGTTCAAAATAAGGGTTCTGGTAATAAAAATAAGGGTCAAAAATGAGGGTCAGAAACTAAGGATCACAAGGGTCAAAATAAGTGTCATGGGGTAAAATAAGTTAGAGTAAGGGTTTACATAAAAGTTATGGGGTTCCAAATAAGGCTCATAGGGATTCAAATAAGGGTAAAAAATTAAGGTCAGAATCTAAGGATCAGAAGGGTCATGGGGGTCATGTGGGAGTTGGCGAGTGGAGCGAGCAGAGAGCGTAGCCCCTTAGTATAAAAAATTATCAATGATAAATGAGCATGTTTTACGTTTTCAATTTATGTCTCTAGATGAGTCATTGGATAAACCCAATGACTCATCTAGAGTATGTTCATACTACTTCAAGCTACAAGGAAAAGTCTTGTGAAATTCTCTGCTATACCGCGATAATCCCGAACTGAACAAGACATCACGCATGAAAAAATCGTACACAAATTTTCTATACGGATTGCGTATAGAATTTCCATAGGATTTTCGTATATGATATCCGGATATTTCTATACGGATATTGTTTATACAAATTATTTCTATACAATTTTCATAGATGTGATCCTATACGCAATCTATATAGAAAATTTCTATACGATTTTTTCATACGTGATGAAGAGATAAAACTTCTTCACTTAAATTTTTCCCCTTAATCACTAAATTAATCAATTAAAGAATCGACTCACAGTAACAACCATGCAGTGACTCTCCCTGATTGCGCCACAGCAGCCGAAGAATGCAATGACGAAGATAATACTGCCAATGACAATGATTGCAATTGCAGCCCCTTCAATCTGTCCGATCGATTCAGCTGTCGCCTGATCGATTGAACCGAGGTTGGTTTCCACCAGGATGCCGGGTATCAGTAATGCAAGTCCACATAACTGGAAAAAACACGATTAGTGAATATTTGCAAACGCAAATGAAATGTTTCAACAACTCGGAAAACGATTCTCGTTGTCGCTCAACTTAATTATCATTTTTATTTTCTCTCCCTCTCTCTCTGTCTCTCTGTCTGTCTCTCTCTCTCTCTATCTCTCTCTCTGTCTGTCTCTCCCGCTCGGGCTTATTTACGTCTGAGGATAGAGAATCGTTACGCAATAATGCAACTGACATCGGTATCATTGTGGTCTCACGTGAATGGCAATGTAATTGCGTTCAATGAGGACGTGTTAACCGGGTTTTACTATGCTTCAAGCGATTCAGTAGTTTAAACGTTCTATGTGAATTTCAAATTCCAGAGGAGATGGAAATATTGAGAAAAAATTGAATTAAATATTCATTACGAAAAGAATTGTTAAGGGGAGACTATTATGAGTTTTAAAATTCAGGGGTTGTTGGAGTGCCATTTATCATGCCTTTAAAATTAATTATGTATATCTAAAAAAAAATGAATAATTAGTGCAAAAACAATAATTTTTCATTGTTCGTTTGCCCCGCAGACGCTTGAAGTGTTAAACATAGTCCAGGGCCTCCAATTTTTGAGCTACAGAGGTTTTTTTTTTAAATTAAAAAAAATGTACAATAGCAATCACAAGTTAGTTTTTTGAAATTCGACTCCTACACAGATAATTTCGTTCTTTTTATTTAAAAAATCGCACCATTCATGAAAAATAATCAGAAAAATTATCCTCAAAATATTTAAAATCAGTAGCGAAGTGGTAGAACGGTATAAGTCAATTTTGACTATTAACCAGTTTTCAATAAATATCTCGGAATCAAAGGGAGGTGGCAAAATTTTTGTTATAACCTTGTTTGAAATTCAGCTATTCAAACTAGTCAAACAGTCACCGGGCTCAACGAAAATCTCGAGAAACTTGGGGACCCTTCAGGGTCACGGTCAGCTATGAAGAAAATCGGCGAAAAAGTCAGTACTATCGTTCTAGACACCGAGAGGGTCACTCTAACCACAGTATAGTATCAACGTAACCGCTCAATCGAGTACATCACCGGAGTACATCAACGCGAGATAATTGAGTTTAACTTCTGTATTGTATGTGGTTAAATTATACTTTGAGTCGAGTCAATCACCAAAATCATTAATCAGTTTATTATCGAGACATTTTTCAAGGGAAGTGCAATTTTCAAACCATTTTGTACAATTGACTTTATCGAGAAAATCAACAGTGTAACATAAAAGTTATCAAGACGCGTGGGTTATTCCACAATAAAGTACATCAACAGCGTGGTTTTATAATTCCGCGTGTTTTAATTTTCCACCTCCTTCCACAATTCTACTTTTCCCCAACCGGCATCTCAATTTAGCTTCAATCTCAAACAAACCTTTTTGTAGAGCCGATTGAGAGCTACAACAAATGTGATTACGAAAATTTCGCTATTCCCGTTAGATTCGGAAATATTCCTCAAAAACTCAACTGGGAGATAAGTCGACTTAAATCGGTTTATCACTTCGCTACTGAAATATATTATCGATTCTTTCAAAACCATTTTCTCTGGCTATTTTACACGAATGGCGTAATTTTTTATCGTGAATTTCAAACAAATAGCTCATAATTGTTATTATACACATTTTTTCAAAAATGTTTAAGAAAAAACCTCTGTACGAACAATAAACAATTAATTTTTTTGCAATAATTAGTCGTTTTTAGACAGATGTAATCGATCTTCAATAGACCTTTTCATTCTGGAAATCTAGCGGAAATATTGATTCCGTTCATCGAACTGAAAAATCTTCGCGAAAATGATCAAAAATTCTGATAAATATTGACATTTAAGATAATATAGATTTGAGCCCTCAAAAATTATGATTGATAGGTAAATTCCGTGAAAGTGTACAAAACTACTGGGGGAACATGGGAGAAGTGTCCGAAAATCTAGTGACTTTCAGAATGAAAAGGTCTATGCATGCTAAATGTCTCTCTCCTAGTAGTCTCCCCTTAAAATAAATTTGGAACAGCTGAAATTTTTTACTTCATGAAAATTGATATTCAACTCCAAGAAATGGTTGAAAGATTTTCTATCTGAATCAAACGATTGTCATGAATGATTTTTACTCTTCACAACAAAATTCTTTTTTCTCATAAACTTCGGTCCCAATTCTGATAAAATTTAATGTGTAGTGCTCTAGATATTGAATAAGTAGTTGTTGAATTTATTGAAATTCTGTTTTCTTCAGAAAATTTTTCTTCACATGCAACGAGAAAAAGTGAAGCTACCTATCACTCATTTGCACTCCAGATGCGCTCGAGCGATTTTTTTGTTTTCCCTCGGATATCCAATATTTTATCAGCTGTTTGAAAAAAAAGGCACGATAAGTCACGGAGCGCACAGTGGAAAATTACCACCAAACTTTTGCAGTGGGACTGAGGAAGTGCGCAGTAGATATTTTCACTCGAAATCGACTGCAATCTCACTAATCCACTAGAGAATACAGTAGCGAAGCGGTAAAACGACTTAATGACATTCAGGTATCATGTACAATTTTGTACAGATTGCACTATATATAGATTCAACCATTTTCATTTATCAAATTTGTCAATTAAATTGCGTAAAAAAAATTTGAAAAAAAGATCATGAATATTCAGCGTCATTAAAATTATATTTTGCACAGAGTTATGATTTTTGCAAACATTTGTCGTTTATAAATAAATAATTAAAATTGTATAACTTTTTAATTTTTTTAGTCATGAAATAGATTTCTAGAAAAATTCTGGATCTGAATAAATTCGTCACGATTCCGAACAAATCAGTAGTGAAGTGGTAAAACGGTTCAAGTCGATTTTAACTATTCTTCAGTTTTCAATGAATATCTCGGAATCTAAGGCAGATAGAAATTTTTTTATAATAACCTTGTTTGGTGAGGAACTAAGTTTAGGGTGGATTGGGAGGTTAGAGGATCGTCGGTGTGAAATAACTGTTGAGAGTCTTGACCTAATATGAACGTTAATTTATTCTCGCGTTCAAACCACGCTTTGTCAAATTTACAAAACACCTTGTCACTAGTTGATCGTACTGAATTAATTTTAATTGTTTATAGTTTTTGCACTGTTGAGTCACTGGTTAAATGGCCAATAAATAACGTGATTTTCTCCTTACTGAATTTCTATCGCCGAGCTAATAGACGTTAATGTACTGAATATGTCTACACTCTGCGCGTTACTCAAATACGGAGTTGAAATCTAATCAAAACGGACTATTTGGCCGATCGTTTTATACTGACTCGCGTTGATTTACGGTGACTCTACTAGACCTGAGCGTTGACCCGGAAAAGACCGATGATTTTCGTAATTGGCCGAGCTTATCGACCTTGGTCTTGGAGAGGTTGGGTTGCGTTTCAAACAAACCTTGTTTGTAGAGATCACTGAGAACTGCAAAAAAGATCATTACGAAAATTTCGCTATCTCTCTTAGATTCGAAGATATTCCTCAAAAACTCAGTTAAGAGCTAAGTCGACTTAAATCGTTTTACCACTTCGCTACTAAAATGAATTTTATGATGAAAAATTTACTGTTTGTCAATTATTTAAAGAAAATGCTCGTAATTTTCCAAAATTACAATTGTTACATTATTCCATCAATCCTCTTCCAAAAGTAAACTGTATCATTTTTTTCGGATTTTTAAAATGTTTTGTAACGTTTCAATATCGAGATTCAAATCTGAACCTGCAAACTTCAAATAATAAGATTATTGGAAAATATGCGAAAGCTTAGGGTCAAATGGGCGTCAAATAAAAGCTCAGATGTTCGGCTACTAAAGTAGAAAAGCATTTCATTAAAGAAAAAATAGCAAAAGTACTTGGATATCCTCAAGTGGATTTAGGCCTCGGCTGAGTTTTTGAGAAATATCTCTCCATCTGAGGGAGATAACGAAATTTTCATAATGACCTTGTTTGAAACGCAGCTAAAATCTCCATATTGTTCACGGTCGACTACGTCGGCCATCTCCGAAAATCTCCGTGACCCTTCGGGTCAACGGACACAGGTCAGCGCGGCACCCGGTAGAGAAAAACGTACAGTAGCATTCCGAAAATCAGCGAGTTCATATCGAGTAGTAGTTCAGTTGTGTTACGGTATCGTTTCAGTAATTATATAATCGAGTCAAGCTAATAGCATTCAACATTTCATACTTTCGTTCAGTACATCACCACATTAATTAGTTCAAGTTCAATCATTATCAGTGAATCAATTGGATTTAAATTTGAAGACAATAGCAGTGAATTAAAGACTATCAACAGTGTTAACTATACCAAAGAGTGTAAATAAGAAATTAACGACGTGGTTCGATCCCACCAATAAACAGGAATTTTTATAATTTGTCTCAACATACTTTTTTCCAGCATTTCCCTCCACATTATCTTCCACATCCACCCTAACTCCAGTTCCTCACCAAACAGACCTTTTTGTAGATCGAATTGAAAGCCAAAAAAAACTTTAATAAAAAATTTTTCCGTCGCCCTTAGATTCCGAGATATTCATTGAAAACTGGTGAATGGTCAAAATCCACTTGAACCGTTTTACGGCTTTGCTACTGAATAATAGTTGAAATTCTAAATGTACACGGAAAAAATATACAAGTATTTATTACTGTGGAAACAGTAATCGAAGGCCATTCCCGCCACACTCAAAGTTTACTGTTGAAGATAGTAAAAATTGCGAATTGGTATAGCAGAAAGTGATAGGATAAAAGTGAAATTTAATTTGGCACGAGAAAAATTCGGTTGAGGATATCCAAGTCTTTGGCTATTTTTACTCCAGTGAAGTGCTTTTCTGCTTTTGTAATCGACCATCAGAGCTTTCATTTAAGCCTGATTTAACCCCAAGTTTCCGTACATTTCACAATGATTTTGTTATTTAAATTTTGCAGGTCTCAATTTGAATCTCGATATTGAACCGTTAAAAAAATTTATTAAATCTGAAAAAAAATT